ACTTAACCAGTATATACACACTTAACCAGTGTATGCACACTAAACCAGTTTATACACACTAAACCAGTGTATTCACACTTAACCAGTGTATACACACTAAACCAGTGTATTCACACTTAACCAGTATATACACACTAACCCAATGTATGCACACTAATCCAGTATATACACACTTAACCAGTATATACACACTAAAACAGTGTATACACACTAAACCAGTGTATACACACTTAACCAGTGTAAACACACTAAACCAGTGTATACACACTAAACCAGTGTATACACACTCCTAAACTCCTTAGCGGCTGAAAGTTCAATAGATTGTTTTGAGGCTACACAGCTGCAACATTTAAGATTTTTATAATTTTTTGTTTCCTAGTTCCCTGCTTGGCATTAAGTTCAGTTTTGGCAGCCTTAGTTTGGAACGTTCATCCAAGGAGGGAAGATAGAGGGTTCTGTCCTCAGGACAGATACCTTAAAAATGGTAATATTGTGCGAAACATTTGACATAAGAAAATAAATCGCAATAACTGTTACTGGGTTGAATGCTGTGCCTTCGGCATGGTTTTTGAGTGATATTAGCACTTTAAATTCGGCATCAGATCAGCGCTATGACTTAAATGTAATTCAACAACATAACGCCATCTGTACACAAAACGCACATAAAAGCATTATAATACACATGAAGGCATGTGCTTGAATGACCTTAGCTGTTTTAAAGGAGGATGAGGGAAGTGACTTTCAACGGTTAGGAGACCGCTCTAAGCAACGAAAATAGCAGACAATAATGCCGCCTCTTTTTCGATGACATGTTCAAGATCAGCAAAATGCAAGCGTATGTAAAGGACGCTTACACCAAATTAAGATACAGTCAGCAGTTTGTTCGAACACTTCAACAATATTTCCAAAACACACATGATACGGAGAACACATCTCCACCGAACATAACAAACTTCAGTTATTTTTTAATAAAAGAAGCAAAGATCTGCTTTAACTCGTTATTATTGCTACAAAGTATTAAAATTCGGAACTTTAACAACATTCTCGTTTAAAACATTGCTCTTCGTGTGATTTTCAAATTCCATACCCTCTGCCACCAAGAATGATTCTGACCAAGTTTGACAAAGATCCTGTCACCAGTTCTCCAGAAGTCAAAAATGTAAAAAGAAAATATGCACGAAGTACGAAATGTGACAGCGTTAGGTCATTTTGCTCAAGTGAAGTAATAAAACCAACCCAAAGACGAAACAAGGAAGAAGCAAAAAGTCATGGCACGAATGATGCTAAATGATGCGAATCTTATCAGCCGTCGGATTGTAAAAAAAGGTTTTGTTAACGATTAATGAATTGATAATACTCCAACAAGAATTTAACTTCATTTTGTACAACCTTGCAAACATAGAACCTAGCTACGCGATGCAAGCCACTATTTACAAACTGGTTTGTTTGGGAATAAAACTTCACAGCGGCCAAGATCACAAGTTGGGAAAGCAGTGGGTTCTGTCCCGAGCCCGTGACATACCAAAGTTCTTAAAATGGCAGTTGTTGTACTCTGCTTAACGTTCAGCTTTTAGGGTAATCGCAACAGCTGGTTTACCCGCTATCCTTATGACCGGTTATAGTACTGTGTTGGGTGCTATCACATGGAAGCAAATACACCAATATACCTTCAACACACATACACACAGCCACTCATACATTACACATACGGGGGCAGGTCCTTAACTGACATTAGCTGCCGATAGGACGATGAACCTAACTAAAGTAAAACCGATATGAAGACACACAACCAACAGGAAATGAAGGCGTAAGTTAAACAGAAAGGAAAAGATATAAATCCCACATAGTTTTATTTCCCAAACGTTACAGAAGACAGACAAGCGTTCCCCCATCCCACAGGGGGTCCTAATCACCTCTAACGACAAGTTGTGGAGTACAGCCGGTCTATTGTTTCCGTGACCAGACAGGGGTTCATGCAATGCGATAACTTTTCCTGTGATTAACAGGTTTATCGAAACATGTGCTTAGAGGGTTTAGTTATAGCTTAAGTTATGGTTTCTCTAACTATTTTTGAACATGAATCTTGTAATAGTCACATTCCCGATGTGATATGTCGAACTATTTTAGAACGAATTGTGAAGAATTTCGTGTTCTTTGATCTAAATTGATCACTGTATGAACATGACTACTGTGTGTTTTGATTGTATGCGGTTCATACGACAACTGTTGAGTAGGGAAATACCGCCGAAAAGAGTAAATAAGTTAGAGATCTACATTGGGGGCAGGCAGTAGGTCAGTTTGTTGTCCTTATGCCCCTTCCCACCTCCCCGAGCAGACGACACGAACGAAAATCCGCGATGCTGCAGGGAACCCTAAACTAGTCGTCTCCTATGTACACGCAGTGGGATACAGCAGATACAGCAGTGGGATACAGCAGTGGGATACAGCAGATACAGCAGTGGGATACAGCAGATACAGCATTGGGATACAGCAGTGGGATACAACAGTAGAATACAGCAGTGGGATACAACAGTAGAATACAGCAGTGGGATACAGCAGATACAGCAGTGGGATACAGCAGATACAGCAGTGGGATAAAGCAGTGGGATACAGCAGTGGGACACATCAGATACAGCAGTGAGATACAGCAGTGCGATACAGCAGTGGGATACAGCAGTGGGATACAGCAGTGGGATACATCAGATACAGCAGTGAGATACAGCAGTGGGATACAGCAGTGGGATACAGCAGTGGGATACAGCAGTAGGATACAACAGTGGGATATAACAGTGGGATACATCAGTGGGATACAGCAGTGGGATACATCAGTGGGATACAGCAGATACAGCAGTGGGATACAGCAGTGAGATACAGCAGTGGGATACAGCAGATACAGCATTGGGATACAGCAGTGGGATACAACAGTGGGATATAACAGTGGGATACATCAGTGGGATACATCAGTGGGATACATCAGTGGGATACAGCAGATACAGCAGTGGGATACAGCAGATACAGCATTGGGATACAGCAGTGGGTTACAGCAGATACTTCAGTGGGATACAGCAGTGGGATACAACAGTAGAATACAGCAGTGGGTTACAGCAGATACTTCAGTGGGATACAGCAGTGGGATACAGCAGATACAGCATTGGTATACAGCAGTGGGATATATCAGTGGGATACAGCAGATACATCAGTGGGATACAGCATTGGGATACAGCAGATACAGCATTGGTATACAGCAGTGGGATGTATCAGTGGGATACAGCAGATACAGCAGTGGGATAAAGCAGTGGGATACAGCAGTGGGATACAGCAGATACAGCAGTGGGATAAAGCAGTGGGATACAGCAGTGGGATACAGCAGTGGGATACAGCAGTGGGATACAGTAGATACTTCAGTGGGATACAGCAGTGGGATACAGCAGATACAGCAGTGGGATACAGCAGTGGGATATATCAGTGGGATACAGCAGTGGGATACAGCAGTGGAATACATCAGTGGGATACAGCAGATACAGCAGTGGGATAAAGCAGTGGGATACAGCAGTGGGATACAGCAGATACAGCATTGGGATACAGCAGTGGGATATATCAGTGGGATACAGCAGTGGGATACAGCAGATACAGCATTGGTATACAGCAGTGGGATATATCAGTGGGATACAGCAGATACATCAGTGGGGTACAGCAGATACAGCAGTGGGATACAGCAGATACAGCAGTGGGATACAGCAGTGGAATACAGCAGTGGGATACAGCAGATACAGCAGTGGGATACATCAATGGGATACATCAGTGGGATACAGCAGATACAGCAGTGGGATACAGCAGATACATCAGTGGGATACAGCATTGGGATACAGCAGTGGGATACATCAGTGGGATACATCATATACAGCAGTGAGATACAGCAGTGGGATACAGCAGATACAGCAGTGGGATACAGCAGTGGGATACAACAGTGGGATACATCAGTGGGATACAGCAGATACAGCAGTGGGATACAGCAGTGGGATACAACAGTGGGATACAACAGTGGGATACAGCAGTGGGATACAGCAGATACAGCAGTGGGATACAGCAGTGGGATACAACAGTGGGATACAGCAGTGGGATACAGCAGTGGGATACAGCAGATAAAGCAGTGGGATACAGCAGTGGGATACAGCAGATAGATACAGCAGTGGGATACAGCAGTGAGATACAGCAGGCCTGTTTTTCCCCTTTCTACACATATATGTCCTTTCAAAAATTCAAAATACAGGGCTAAAACCGTGGGGAAACGGTAATGCCCGCAAAAAGTCACTTTCTATTGCTGCCCTTTTCACAATAAAACTGGTTGTATTTGGTATTGACAATGTATCTGTTGAGTTATTATAAAAAGTATCATATCGTAACAAAGTTATCAATTGTCTAAAATAGCACAAGATACATGTAATGGTATCCACATACCTGTTTCGATCTTTCTTTGTCTTCTCCATGTCCAAGTTTTACATCCTTGTTCAGTTTGGCTCGCACCCAATATTTGATAACTCACGTTGAGAACACAGGTAATTTCGTTTAATTTTTACTCAAGCCTTTTTATTTTGATCTTAAGTCGACCCGTTTCCATAAACGTAATAAATACACTTTCGTGTAAGATTTGGCCGATTATTCCCATACACGTTATATATAAACTTCCTTGTAAGATTTGTCAGATTCCCAGCTTGTGAGATATACCGAAAACGCAGGCGTTTTATTTACAGTTAAATCAATAAATATGTCAACAGTCAACAGGTTATAAATAATCCCATGGTTTGTTATCGGCTTTTTAAATACAAAAAAAACAGACTAACATACTAGTGAAACGTTACATATATAAGCAAGAGGCACGATTGGCCTGATCACAAATCTAGTATTCCATTAATAGCAAAGGTGATTTAGGACGTGCCCCCATAGTTGTAAGGAATGTATGGATAGCGCTGTGTACGATATGTTCGTGATGGTTCGGTGCCTTCACACCCATGCAGGTCCGGGGGTTTTGTTCGGTCTTATTACTTTACCGCCCTATAAACAGCTAAGGTCATTTAAGGACGTACCTCCATGGGTACATTTATAATGTATGAGTGCAGGTGTGTATGTGTGCTGGAAGAAATGTATATTGGCTTGTTTGCCTCCCTGCGATAGCGCGGATCTGATATCGATATTAGAGTGCTATCTTACTGAAATACCATGCCGAAGGAGCCCAGCACAAAATCCAGCCGGTTACACAAGATTTTCAATGTCCCCATCTGGGGACAGAACGCATGGCGCACTTGGGCGAACGTTCAGTGTCAATGCCAAAAGTGGGGTATTGCCAATCAAGGCACTAGGAAACGAAAAGGTTGTTAGGAGGAAGAGAGGAAAGGGACAGAATCCAAATGTTGCATGTTGCAACGGGGGCACATATCAAGTAAGGTTTCTTCAAATGTCCCGTTAGAAAAAGCCATAGAAGACAACCCCCGATTCTACAGGGTCCAGTATTGGTCGCCTTTTACGACATACAGTTGGATACATCAGGCCGATTGGAGTAAAGTGGGTAATTTCAGGTAAATGAAGGAACAAGCTGCAATAATAGATTTTAGGTGGTAGGAGAACCTCCAGATTGACCTCAGCTTGTATAAGATCACTTGATCATGTGTAAGATCACCTCAGCTTGTGTAAGATCACTTGATCACGTGTAAGATCACCACAGCTTGTGTAAGATCACATCAGCTTGTGTAAGATCACTTGATCATGTGGAATCTTTTGTGATGTTTCCACTGCAGCATTTACTCCACCCCGGTCCTTAAACATGCAAGTTGACCGATTGTATTTTTCACTAGCCCCAGCTGTATTGTCATCAGCATACATGTGTGTACTACAGTGTTACGTTAGCATACATGTGTGTACTACAGTGTCAACATTTCGTCTCCAAGATGCCTAATAAGAGGACACAGAAAAAGGGGTCAGTTGCATCTGCAGCTCAAAAGGCAGCGGATACGGCCAGAGAGGCCCAAAAGAAACGGGCCGCGGAAGATGAGATGGCCAGAGAGGGGAAGAGGCGAGGAGGAGCGTTCTATATATCCCTCCAGACATTGGGCGGATAAACTCACGTTCATCGCACTTCCACGCACTTACAACATGCGAGTGAGTAAGGGCACCGTACGTGAGCAGCACGTGTAAGTACGGCCTCGTACAATAACGTGGCAATCGCAAGGAGATCGTACGTTGTAAGCAAGTTGTAAGCACGTACAACTCACTTACCACGTGTGCAACGTACGATGCACGCAATCGCTCACGACCAGGCGTGGCGTGCGGGCCACGTACTTACACCTTGCGCAACCGTGCGAGTGACGTGCGTTGACGTACCTCTCCCTGCTCTTGCCCCTCCCTCCCCACGTTTTCAGAAAAACGTGGCGGCCGCGGCCTCCCCAAAACAAGTACGGACTAAAAACACGCACGGTGGGTTGTGACCGGGCCTTAAGGGTCACGCTGAATAGGATCTGTTGACTATTGCGCAGTGCCACCATTGCTGAAAACTCTCACGATGATAAAACCAATAAACTTAAACCATACGAAAAGGAGGCTCCTAAAACGTCTTTAAAAAGTACTACGAGTACTTACGAGTAGTTATTTATCGTTGAGTCATTACAGTTTATTTACATACAGACTCGACAAAGAATGTATTCATACGCAAAAAAATGGATGAACATACGAACTATCTCAACTATCTAAATAGACTTTGATATTGTGGGTATGGGGGTGAGCATGTCCTTATATGACATTAAAACCTAACACACAAACCTATAGATCTGTAGAGTGTGTGCTGGAGCGGTAGTCTGGTGCATTTAACACAACTTTACGTTGTCTTGCTTCTTACAACAGCAGATAATTAGTGACTGTCAAACCCATTGGCCGTCGAATTTATGCCCAATATTTCGCCTTAGCTTATACATTTAGCTTGTGCTTACCTAGCTATCGATACGACATGAAATCAACCATACCTACGTCTTTATTTTTCACACCATCTCCACCTCTCTCTGCCTGGCTATATGATTTACAGTTAGATGTTACGTTTACCACAGCGAGAGCTGTGAATTAATTGTATTTCACATAGAAATAGAAGACGGTCCACACTCTGTTATCTTTACGTAGCTAATGGTTAGTACTTTCTCCTGCATTGTTTATTGTGTCTAACATGATAGGCGTGGAGGATTCTAGGAAGCTCCATTGGTGAACAATAACGGAGGCAAGAAGAAGATATGTTTGGTGAGTTTATATACATTAGCGTTTTCTACGCTTACTCTTTTATTTCGGCGGTGTTTACTTAGGTACCGTATTCACATTACCTTCACAGCTGCTGGTCGCGGATTTAGTATGTGTATGTACCTGCTGTTACTCATTTTATGTTGCAATGCAGATTTGAGACTTTGTTTTTGTGCCCTTTCAATGGGGATACTCGTGTGATCGTCTGTACAACACACAACATAATGGCTCTAACAGTGATCGTCTGTACCACACACAACATACTGGCTCTAACAGTGATCGTCTGTACCACACACAACATACTGGCTCTAACAGTGACTCTCTGTACCACACACAACATAATGGCTCTAACAGTGACCGTCTGTACCACACACAACATAATGGCTCTAAGTACCTGCTGTTACTCATTTTATGTTGCAATGCAGATTTGAGACTTTGTTTTTGTGCCCTTTCAATGGGGATACTTGTGTGATCGTCTGTACAACACACAACATAATGGCTCTAACAGTGATCGTCTATACCACACACAACATATATACTACTCTAACATTGATCGTCTGTACCACACACAACATACTGGCTCTAA